ATAAGAGTTTTAAAAACTGGGTATGTAAGCAAAGGGTGGGTCTGAGATGTTTTGGATAGATTAAATGGGCATTTTGACAACATGGCTTCTCCTTTGGCATGCTGTGATGCTTAACAATCACCCTTACAGTTTAAGATGACACTTTTAAGAGAAACTTCTCTTTTCGTGGTGACCTGAGCCCTGCCACCCAATGGGAGAATAAGCAGAACCTGTAGAATTTTATTTGAAATTGACATTATTGTAATTTAATTTTTAATTTTTTTTTTTGCTTTCACTGGAAAGATGCTCAGTTTTAAAACTATACATGTTGCTTTGTTACAATAAAACTATGTACACACACACATACACACGAAGAGCTTCTTTCAATCTTCTCAGGCCTTGATGGCTTATTTAAACACACACACACACACACACACACACACACACACACACAAATGGGGTCAGCAAGATGGCTCAGGAAGTAAAGGAAAAAGTCCAAACTGAGTACTAGTAGACTTGGTGTCTGGTAATGCTGTACCTCATTGTTCTTGCTAGGCCCAAAAAAGTATTGCTCATATACACATGGGTGTAGGGTCATCCACTGGTGCATGGTCAACCTACCAGGGCCATACCCTTAAAGAAAACTGATTCTGTTTCCCTCAGAAGTAATCAACTGCCAATAGGCCCTCAGCTAGGAATGGGGCATGGGGCTCTTAAATCCCTTCCCCTCCATGCTGGAATGCTGGCTGTCTTGATCTTGAGCAGGTCTTGTGTAGGCAACTAAAGCTCTGTGAGTTCATGAGTATAGCAGTCCTGACATGTCCAGAAGACAGTTTGCTCCAGTTCTCCCCAACCCCTGGTTCTTCCAATCTTTCTAATCCCCTCTTACACAATACTCCATGAGCCTTTGAGGAAAGAGGTATGATGCAGATGTCATATTTATGACTACACAAGGAGTAAAGATCGTCTAAAGATATACACATATACCCTTGTTTGGCTGTTAAGACTATTGAAATGATGATCCCCAAGGACTTCTAATTTCCTCAGACATCTCACACCGGGAAAAGGAAAAAGCTGACTCCTGATGTCAACTAGAAGAGGAATTTGTGCCCAAGAAGAGATTTAACGAAGTTTTGACACCTTGTCAGACCACCTGGCAGGAGATACTAGAGCTGAGACAATGACGGGTCAGTGATGGGCAGAGCAGCACCTTGACCAGAGCTGCTTAGCTACGCAGCTCTTGCTTTCAATTTAAACCTGTCTCATGTCAGGACCCCAAAGATGAACTTGGGAGGTCACTGAATTCTTTATTCTTCCTAATGTGGCACCATTGGACAGATCCCTGTTTTCCGCCTTTAACTATGACTTGTTTAATTGGCTTATTGAGGCCAGGTGGTCAAGCCTACTTGTTAAGGCTGCTTGGGCCCTGGTTCTGACCCTAACAACTCTGGTAACCAGCACAGATCAATGTTGAAAAGATAAAGTTATTTAGAAGTTCCATCTAAGGACTGCTTAGGGGTGGTTAATGCTGATCTGTGCACAGGTCTTCCCATCTCATGGCTCTTCTCAGAGAGGGAGCAACACGACAGAATGCTCAGACCCTGCTGGTCCTTACACAAGACAGGACACTCACACTCACCTTCCCACTTCATCACAGCCCCATTTCCCAGCCACACCCTTCAAATTTGGTCACCACGGGGCTGCCCCACCTAGAGAGTGGCAGCTCTACCTTAAGAGCCAAAGTCTTCTCGGGTGATGGGGGTTCGAGCCAGCAACCCCCGCGCAGTGATGACTGGGGATGAGTAAGTGTGCCGATCGCCAGCCCATGGCCGCCCCCAGTACCGGGGACAATCAGACGCAACAGGGAGCCTAGTCAAGCAGGGACTCATTTATTGCAGGTGTTACAGAGCTTATAAAGGCACCTGGAAATCCCCCAGGGTGTATCTTAAGGATGGTCATGCGCTGATCATGCACTCTTCAGCAGTGCGGAAATATTCTTCAGACTTTTCAAACAGGTCAGACCGTGCCCCAGTAACTTCCTCTCAGACCTCTGCAAGGTGGGGCCTTTAGGTCCCCACACTCGGGTATTCAGAGGAGCAGAGGTCAGGACCTTTGGAGAAGGGGCCACTGTTGGCTCAAAGCTATTGTTCCACTGAGTGACGCAGGTAAACCAGAACATGTGATTCTCAGGCTACAAAGGTGGCTAGCTGTGTTAAGGGAGGCATCACGCTCCTGAAGCTCTGGGTTAGCATGTACCACTTGTAGTGTCTCTCCTTGTCCACTGGGTGTTTGCTGACTCAGCGAATCTAAGCTGCCTTTGATACCCAGCATTACTAGGATGCAGACTCCCTGAGGAGTTTCTCTAAAGAGTGGACATCTTAACTATTCACTTAAACAGCTATCAAAAATAGATCTTTTAAGCTGGGCGTGGTCGTGCATGTCTTTGATCCCAGCACTTGGGAGGCAGAGGCAAGCGGATCTTTGTGAGTTCGAGGCCAGCCTGGTCTACATAGTGAGTTCCAGGACAGCTGGGGCTACAAGGAGACCCTGTATCAAAAAGACAAAAAAAATAGATCTTTTTAAAAAACAAAACAAGCCCCTCCCCTTTAATCATTGTGGAAAATCCTCTCCTTGAACATAAAGAGACTGGATTACTGTGAGGTTTGAAATTCTACACTGGGGCTAGAGGAAGGGGGGCCTGAAGCAGAAGCCTGCCAAGTGCTCAGGTAGACATTGCTGCCCCCATGTGGCTAACGTGTCGTACTGCATGCTGTTTTCACAAATGCCCTTTAATCGCCTCTCAGGATGCTGGTGACACCGTGCAGCTGGCTGCCTGCGAGAAAAGGTGTTGGGAAGAGGTGGGACAGCAGGCGTAGTCCACCTCTCTGAGTTACACAGATGACAGCCCAGGGGAACTAAAACAGGAGGCAGAGCTGGCCTTCCACCTGTTTTTCTAACCTGCTGCAGCATGTTGTGCTTTTTTAGGGAGAGGCTGCAATCACTTGATCCACTTTCATTTTCGTTCTGAAAAGGTGTTGCTAACATGAGAGATACAGCACTATCCCTGTGACTGGATCAATGCCTCGAGAGTGTGTTTGAAGGGAGGGTACAGGGATATACTGTGGGCTGTCTAGCCTAGAGAGAAGGCTGAGTGGGGGCTTGGGGGGATGTTTGACCTTTCTGTTTTCCTTTCTCTGTGACCTCTGAACACTTGACTGTAGACCCTGTAAAGGAAACATTCTGTGGCACTGTGGGGTGGAGGCTGCACAGCTGAGTGACAGGGAGAAGTACCCCATCCATGGCTGATCACCAGGCATGAACAGGCTTCCAACCCCTTCTGCATCCAGTGCATGGCCCTGGTCACAAAGCAATGTGCCATCTCAAAGGCAGTACTTCAGGCATATACATGGCTTTCCTGAGGGCCATACAGCCATGAGAGTGCTGACCCTCCCTGTCACATGCTCTCCCTATCCATCACACCTTCCCCTATGATACAAGTTAGCCTGGGCGGCCCAGAAAGACAGGTGAGGAGCTCTTCTGAAAGCCAGGGAGTTCCCAGTATTGACCTCATCAAAACCCAGCACACAATGAACTGTTTTGCATTAAAAATAATTCTCAACATGTTGCTGTGCTTGGGACACACAGCTCAGAAGCACAGCACAGCCAGGACGGCATCCACAGTCAGGAAAACATCACCTCAGGTAATAAGAGCCAAGCAAAGGATGAATGTGATTACGGAACCCCCTGTGAGTATCTGAGATTTACAGACACTGAAACACAGAAGAGGTCCAAAGAAAAGGGAGAATACTAATTCTAACCTTTAACATCCATCTTAAAAACATTCCAGATCAATTACTGAGCATTTTGCAAGTGAGAAACAACAGCCTACATGAACATGTCTCACCTCTCTCGTCTGTAACTGAGTCATAAGTTTTATGAAGCTGCAGAAAGTAGATTCCAGTCCTTTGTTTTCACACGTTGGCTAAACATCCACCTACACGGCAGGCACTGTGGGCAGGCACACAACCATGCCCTCTGTCAACACTCACATTCTTGAAGTTCCCCTCTTCCGCTGGGACTTCCTGTAGAAGCCACTATGCTCTGCTGCCTCTGAGGCTCCCCACTGCTCCTTTTAATTCAGTGACCAATAAGACAGAAGATAAAGACTCAGCGCCACCCAGTAGAGAGAAGCCAGTCAACCACATTAGTGCCCCACTGGCCAGCATGTGCATGTTACATGTGTGCCTGTGCATGCCTGTGTATGTACACTTGCATTTGTGTGCTGTGCATGCAGTTGCATGTGTACATGTTACACACTGAGACTGGCTTGCACAGACATAGACTGAGCTTCTGTGGATAGGACAGACCAGGCTGCACTATTCTGTCTGCTGTTTTCATGATAAACATGTGGCTTTGAGTCAACACAATAAAAAAGCAAGCAAGAGCTGATGAGCAGGAGGTAGCTGGACAGAGACTGAAAGGCAAAGGAAGAACAGGCAGCCACACTGCCTTGGGGAAATGAGAACACAACCCCACGGGGTGGTACCTGCAGCAGAGTTTTCCAGTCACCTTCCAGGTCCAAGACACTCCAGTTCTGACTGGGAAAACCTTAAATATGCTGCATCACCTGCAGTTCTATCAGCAAGACACACAGCATTGTCTCCTGACCTCACCCCCAGACTATTGGGAGGTGAAGTCCTCATGGATGGATTGCTACTGCTATAAGAGAAGAGGAAGGGAGCACTCTAGCCTCTGCCCCTCTCTCTGCCTTCTGGCATGTGAGGACATCTTGGAAGAGACAGAAACCCAAAGTGCAGCCTTGGCTTGGATTTACAGTCTCTCCACTGTGAGAAACCAATTTCTTTATAAAATGTTACAGCAGCACAGACTAAGACCTCTCCTATTCCTCTATTTCAGTTACAAAATTCAAGAAAATTGATTTACTTGTATTATTTCTATACAAAAATGTTTTCATACTAAAGCACAGTGTAAATGTGTTTGACTCAATACTATGGATGGCGTTCAAATCACACCAAAAAGATGGAGCTCAAAAAGACTGAAAAACAGACAGCAGATGGAGGTAATGTCAAAAGTGGAGCAACTTGTTTTACTTCAGACATGTTACGCACATAATTTCATGCACGACTAAGAAAATAGTCCATTAAAGTACACTTTCATGGTGAACTGTTTAAAATGTAGGAATAAATGTGACACTTTAAAAACTGTTCCAAAAATAACTAGAAATACTCTCAGAAAAGAGCATTCTGGACGTGACTCAGTATTTTCTTTGAGGTTTAACATACACTAAAATGTTCACTGCTTCTATTCAAAAATAGTGATTTATTTATCGGGAATACCAAAGTATCACTCTTGTAAAACACAGTACATACAGAATATACATATTCTATGTACATAAATGCACATGAACACAGAGTCTGGGATCCATCTTGTAAAATTGGGGAGTTATATCCCCACTGTCCTCTAGACAGCTGCTCTTCATTTCTGCAGAACCAGACACAGTCGTTTGTGCTCATCTGTCTCTGGTGTGGTCCACCGCCTCTTCAGGTACTGGATGTCAATAGCACCAGAAGCCCTGGCCAGCACCAGGGCCACAAAGCTGCCACTGGCTTTCTCAGGGTCCCCCGTGATCGTCATGGCCACCAGCCTGCAAGTGACAGAGGACGTGTGAGGTCAGCACACTGTGTAAGACATTTGGTTACCTGAGTCGTCCATGTATTCAAGGGAGGAGTGAGACAGAAGGGTAAAAACCGTTACAATGAAAAATCAGAACCAAAGTGAATATGAAAGTCTGTTGAAAATCCACCTCAGGGATCTGCTGGACTGAGGGTTCCACGTAGGCAACTGAGTGAAGGCATGGCTGTAGAGAGGCCTGAGGACCTCCCCAAGAAGGGTGTCACTCCCCATCTGATGCTCTTGCCCGCCCTAGGGAGCCAACACCCCCAATAGCAGGCCTCTAGGCTACCTGAGAAGGCCCTTCCAATCACACAGGCAGTGGGACCCCACATGTGGGGGTTCCCAGCACCTCAGTGCCCCACACACCCCAGCAATCTCAGTCACAGCCAAATATCAAAGCTCAGAAACCTGCACCCTAGCTGAGGCTTGTCACTGAGCTCAAGAACTCCCCAGCATCACCCTCCTATGAGTAGTACCATTCATCTTGTGCTCTAGTGAGAAATCTGGGCCATTCCAACACTTGGACTTGCTCCCAGTGTCCCTCCTCCATGCCACTGTCTCCATGCTGGGGATATGTCCCCATCTCTACCCTTACCTTCTTCAGCATTCAGTCTCAGAAATACACATCTGAAGGTGACCTTGTCCCCACTCAAATCCTTCCCATTACAGAAAAGTGTCCAGTCCTTCTTCCGTGGCCTCTCTGGGACTCCTCCTGGCCCAGCACCACTCCAAACCAATCCTCACCTCCAAGTCCCCACTGCTGGGTACCGACAGCACAGGAATATCAGGAGCTCCTCTCTCCTGGACACCTGGCTCTTCCCACCCAGTTTCGTGGGGTTCACTCCTACTTATCCTTTCACTCATGTCTTGATGCCATCACCTCTAGAGATTTCCAGGGTGCTCTTACTATCCTAAATTAAGCCAGAACCCAGCAGGATTACCACAGCTTGAGTCAAGGTGGACATCTTGTTTAAAACAACACCTACTCCAGCCTATTCAGCAATTGTCGTGGATAGTCAGTACCACATAGTGTTGGCCACTGCAGTGGGTTCTGTGACTGTAAGCAAGGCAAGAGTAACTTCTCACCAATAAGAAAAGCAGGTGAATTGGCAATTGAGGGAAGAGGGTTCCTAAGGTGACCCACAAGGTTCAATGTCCTGCTAACATCCATAACTCTGTCTATAATCCAAATACCAATGCTCAGACTTTGTGCTGTCAGCATGGCATGCTGTGTCAGCAGCCTGCACAGGTACTGCGGTACCCCAAGCTTCATGGTTCCACCTGGCCATTTGAGACCCTACCTATGGATAGCCTTCTGAAGGGTCTACCCCCAACCACCAAGGGGCGGGCTCTTAAGGGAGATCCCACAATGCTTTCAGGGCCTAGGGAATATGAGAATTAAGTCTCAAACAGGACAATTCCCAAAAAATTACAGTGGCTAGGGTGTCCACTGCTTTGGCATGCTGCTCTGTTCACTCACACAAAATGCAGGTAAGTATATTTGCAAAGTGGGAAATAGTGTTGACAATAGTAAACAAAGGTTTCCCTGGCATTAGGACTCCAGGGGTGAATGTAGTTCATTGATAAATTATTTCTAGATTAAAACAACACCATTTCGACTAGGCATGGTAGCACACCTCTATAATTCTGAGAAGCTGAGCCAGGAGATTATGAGTTTGAGGCTATCATGGGTTATAAAAGAGAGGCTCTGTCTGAAAACACAAAACAGCTTCAGGCGGTACTCTAGCTACTGCCCAGCAAACTGCCCTCTTGCAGTGTATTCAATGAATAATTTTTCCTGAAAAAAAATAAGCACAACTAACAAACATCAAAAATAAATATAGAGCCAGGTGTGGTGGTACACACCTACAATCCCAGGGCTTAGGAAGGAGACACAGGTGAAGACAGAAGGGTACCCTCATCCACATGGTGAATTTGAGGCAGCCTAGATAATAGGAGACCCTATCTGAAAAGAACCCCAAAATAAATTAAATTAAAATAGTTGTATACTTACCAGTAAGTGCTATCACTAATACTTTGAAATGTCCTTCAAATTTTTAAGTTGTGCACAATCAAGCAAAGGCAGAATTTTAAGTACATATGGATGTGGAATATACTCATGAGTGTGAAACAAAGGCTGGACTAACTGATTAACCAATGGACTGACTGGTTGACTGATTTTTACGTTTTTTTCAGGGCCTTGCTATGCTGCACAGACTGATCAGTCCCTGAGTTCGGCGACCCTCCCATCTTAGCCTTCTAAGTGCTGGGATAACAGATATGAGCCACTGTGCTCAGCTCTTGACATATTTTTTGGTTTCCTTTTCTTTTGTTTAAGGCAAGGTCTGGCTATGTATATGTAGCTCAGGGAGGCCAGGAGTTCCCTATGTAAGACCAGGCTGGGTTAAGGTTAGGATTAGGGTTAGGCCTCAAATTTGTAATCCCCGTCTCAGCTTCTCAAGTGCTGGGATTACAGACATGTCGCTATAGCCAGCACTCCTGATGTACTTTTTAACTGAAATAATACCAATCTACCTAGCACTTCAACTGAATAAATGTAATTCTTATTTTTTCAAGATCTTATCAATATCTCCTTCACATTTTCAGACTATCATGTTTTTGATAATTTTTATACTCCTCTTTCCTTTACAAAATGGTAGTGTAATTTCTTCCCCACCTATCCCAAACCTTCTAAATTGAACTGATCAACAAGAAATATAAAATTTCAAGAACAAAGGTGACCAAGCAAACTGGGGTCAAGAGAGAACCCTTCAAAATGAATCTTTTGTAAGTACTGCTACTTTGAAATAAAACAACAAAGGCAAAGAACTATTTCAAAGTAGTTATCTATGAGCTCACAAGATGACGCAGTAGGTAAAGGCACTTGCTGCCTGAGGACCTGAATATGAGCATATGGGACTTCTCTCTACCTTCCTCTCTATTTGGCTACAAACCTAAGTCTGCTCTAAAAAAATTAAATAAGTTTTTACTATATAATACACAAATATATTATTTAATTTAAACTTAAACATATGTTGTGATTTAGGAAAGACCACTGGTGAGGCTGGTGGGCCTTGTACTCACTTGTCTGGAGAGATGAGCTGCTGGGCCACAGGGCCCAGGTCATTCTCAAGGAGGTCCCAGACATAGACCCTGGATGCATCGTCCTGGACCAAGAACACGGCAGGCCTCGTCGGGGACCACTGCAGACCAGTGACGGCATGGCCCTGGGTGCTGCTTTCCCACTGCATGACAGGCCTCTCTGAGGTCAGCTGGTGTAGCCTGATGCTTCCATCTGAGCAGCCAGCCTGCAGTCAGGGCAGGGAAACCCTAAGCCCATTTGTCTTTCTTTTTAAATTAAATCTCAACAGTCAGGGAAATTTTTCAGAGCATTAGCTTTCCTTATTTGTACAACAGCATTTGGCTTGCTTTTGTTTTCTGAACATGAAGTCATATTATTAAACCTATCCTCATAAACAATGAGACTGCCACCCCTACTGAGACCATGAATCAGTGTTCATCTTTAAGAGCTGAAAGCTACTGGCTCCAGCACAGAAATGTTCAGGCTGGCTCCACAGTAGCAGGCTACCTTTTTAAACTGCTGTATTTGCACTGACAGCACGGTCACTTATTCCTTTTGGACTAAAAACAAAACTTAGCTGGTTTAGTGAAAGACGAAACAATTAGCTTATAAAGAGAAAATTAATTCCTTCTTACTCTTTTATCTCTTCCCACACTCAAAAAGACATATGAAGTTCTCAAATAATAAATCAAGATGTATTTTAAAAAGAAAGCCTGCAAGAATGGCAATAAGAAGTTTCCTTATGCAGCAGATGATGACTGACACAGAAACCCACAACTGGCTAATGTACCAAGAACAAGAGGCTGCAGAGTGCTTATCCCTGAATAGGACACCTATATCAAACTTCTGCCTCCCAAGGCTCAGGGACCAGTGCAAAAGAGGGAGCAAAAAAATTGTAAGAGCCAGATGTGGATGACCACAGGAAACAGTGTTTTCGAGACAGCTGGTCAGTTACTCATATGAGCTCACAGCAACAGTGATAACATGCATAAGTCCCATGCAAGCTCAAACCAGAAAAAAAAATCTCAGCATAGACATGAGGAAGTGTGTAAGAAGCTCCAACCCCACCTAAGGAAACTGTGGCAACAGATGGCTACTGGGAGGGGCAGAGACAGTCTCTTTCAAGGATGGGACTCTTGTTAGGTTAACCAGGCCCCAGTAGATGGACCCACACTGAAGGATATGAGGGGACACAAATTAGACTTTATAGGCCTTATTTTATATATATACATATATATGTTTACACATATACATACATACATATATAATATATATACACACACATTAAATTGGGCAGGGGGCAATAAGGCAAGGTAAGGATAAGGGAGGGGATCTAAATACCATCAAATTATATTGCATGAAAATAGCAAAAATTTAATTATAAAAAAAAGAAAGCTGTGGTGGAAAAAAAAAGAATGGCAATAATAAGAAGGGAAATCAAATTCTAAAATAAAATACAAACAGAAACACATTTAAAAGCCTAATTCCAAAAAGATAACAAAATCAAACAGAAAAGTGGGACAAGAACTAAGCCAAATCAGCTCGGCACACAATATCTGGGTGTGCAACTTCTGACTCAGACACAGAAAGAGCCCTGACACACAAAAAAAGCTTCTTTGCACATGGCATGAACAGCTCGGAATGTTCTGGGGTTGTACACGCGACCAGGCACATGACAAATCACTGCTACGGTCTGAACGAACTTTGTCTCCACCAGTTCACATGCTAAGCACATGGACTTTTGAAAGGTGGAACCCACTGGAAGGTGATTAGGAAAGAGGTGTGTAGACCTCAGAAGGGATAGATGCCCGTTTTTTGGGATGGGGTTAGCTCTTAGGACTGGGTTAGTTATTGTAAGAGCTGGATGGCAACTGATAATAGCTTGCAACTGAACAAATCATTTCTCGAGAGAGTCAAATTTAATTTAGGTTTTTGTTAACAATATTCTGTGTGTCATTTTTAGATCACTAAAGCCTAACAAATGATTAATTTGTAGCCTAGTAAGTGGCCAACTTTCTAAATTTTTACTGGATTGCAATATTATGCTGAACAAACAGACAAAAAATATCACTAAAAAGAGACTTTCTGGCCAGGTGTGGCGGTGCACAACTTTAATCCCAGCACTTGGGAGGCAGAGACAGATCTCTGTAAAATGGAGGCCAGCCTGTACCACATTGTGAGTTTCAGGCCAGCTGAGGCTACAAGAAGACCTTGTTTCAAAATGATCAAAACCAAAACCAGAAACAAAAACCAAAACAAAACAAAAAGCAACTTTCTTACCAAGAACACTGTATCTTCAAATGGTGAAAAATCAATCACAGTAACTTTTATTGGTCTGGCACTATGCTGCTGAGGTTTGAACACCTTGGGAGATACTCTCCAATCTTGTCTCGTGCCATGGCTTATAAATCCCTAATAAGAATATCAAGAATGGCCAAAGAAAAGGATTAGGCATAAGCCCAGACAAACCTACAATTCTTGAAAGAAGTCAGACATTATAACAAAAGCAAACAGTAAGTTCATCTGATAACAAAGATTTTATCAGTGAGTCTAGGTGAGAAGGATGAAGTGTAAACTACTACTCACCATGTCAGTGCCAACCACAAAGTGACTCGGATCTGAAGGCAGAAATTTGACACTCAGTGTTTGCACAGACCCCCAGAAATCACTATCTCTACGGGAAAGACTGAAAAACAAACAGCAGCAAAGATAAATAGATGGCTTCCGTGAGACCTGAAGGCTGACAGCTCTATACTCTATACATCCCCAGATGAGAAGGCTATGTCCCACCTCCTCCAGGATTTCAGCTTCTCTGCTTCCCACTTCTTCTGGTACTACATGGTCAAGCATTTTTGCATATCCACCACTCTACTCACTTCTTCTTTCTTTGATCATGTTGAATCTGCTATCTAGCCATTAATTGGTTGATATTTGGGAAATAGCAGTTTGCTTCTAAAAGGTTTTTTTTTTTTTTTTTTTTTTTTTTTTTTAAGACTGCACATATGCCAGCAGGTCTAATGTTGAGACACAGGGTGAGTTGGTACTGACTCTGACAAATCCACTATGATGGCAGTTCTGGCAGGTTTTGTTTTTTTGGGAGGGGTGACGGGGGTGGTCTGAACTCATTATGTAGACCAGGCTGGCCTCAATCTCACAGATATCTGCCTGCCTCTGCCTCCTGCGTGCTGGGATTAAAGGTGTGCACCACCACAACTGGCTTGTGATGGCAGTTCTTAATGTGTTAATTCTATTTATGCACCAAGGTACACCATTCCCTACTTCTGGTTTCTTAACATTCATGAACTCATCTTTGGCAGACTGCTCATAGGAATCTTATGAGCCCCAGCTTCCCACCAGGCAGTTGTCTTTACATCTCAAGACCCCTGGGACTCTGATATTCTGATGTTGATCTCAACTTGCAAGTTCCCATGCCCATACCCAGCTTGGGATTTCAAATTCTTCCAAGGACCTGTCTTCCCTCACTAGAGGTGAGGCTTTCTCAATTACTCTCGAACTAAAGGGGCAGTGAATTCCAGAGTCCTGTACAGATATCTCAATTCTAGGTCTCTGACTCAGGCAAGCCCGATGCACCCTGACAACATAGGACTTAAGCCGCAGGCTTACAGTGGAGACCTAAAACAGCCAGGCCTGACAACCTGGCCTCTGGGCTGTCACTACCAATTCTACAGCTTACTACACTAACTTAACTTCCCTCCTTGTTCCTGGCATTAAGAGATTTTCTTTTCTTTTAAAACACTGTATTAAACTTTACTGTTATTCTTCCCTCTGTGAGGCATATGTCTATCATGGGAGGGGGCCCACAGTGGCTATGCCATGCTGCCCTTGTCAAAATCAAGAAACTGCTTTCTGAGCCTCCTCGCCTAAACCCTCTTCTCACACCATTTCCAGGATTGCGAATGTCACCTGTCACTGAGTCACCACCTGATCTGTGGTACTTCCTGCTTCCTAGACATCTCCATGAGCTCCACAGCTCCATCATCCTAACCTGATGCCCCTATTCTGCCCCTCACCACACTCAAAACAAAGCCCCTTCTTCCTCTCCTCATCCTCATCTGTAGAACAGAGTAACCAAACTATGGTGGAAGGCAGGGGCTAACCAAGGATGCTTTGTCCCACTGCTTTTATAATCAGGACACCAGACTGCTAGTTCCATTCTTTTGAAACACATCCACCTCTCACACCCATGATGCCTTTCATACAGGCCACTACACCAGCCTCCTAACTGGTCTCTCTGATTCCAGTCTCCCTTCCCATGTTTCAAACTCACACTCTGCCAAGTTAATTTTACTATACCACAAAGAAGACATGCCACTTCCTCAGCATAAGATCCTGGACAGTTCCCTGTTACCTCCAAGATAATATTTCAACTGTCAGAATAGCAGTAGATATATCAGGGTTAGCCACACACTTACCTCATCTTTCTCAACATCAGACCTACTGAGGCCTTTAAGTACAGGTATCTTTTCCTTCAGGGACACCCACTGCACCATTCACTAGGACGGTGACAAGCTCTTTTGCCAAACTTCTATCTTCCAAGGATCAAGCCCAGTTATCACTTTCTCAAGAAGCTCCATCCCCAACCCATCTCCTCCCTGGAGTTCCTACACACCTGTGCTTATGCTGACAGAACATATCATATTCTGTTACAACCACACAATGAATGTGCTCCTTCAGTGACAGTCTTGCTGGGGGCACTGAAGGCTGATGGCTACTTCACCTAGGGTGACATCCTTCCAGGACATGCACAGTCCACAACTGGTAGGGGAAGGGACAAGGACCTGGTATATTAGTCTGGCCAGCCACCACAGTTCAGTCAGGGTAGGGAAAAGCCACAGAGTGAGGGCTCTCCTGTGACCCAGTCCTGCCTCCTTCTCTCCCCTTACTTCCCACAGATCTTGCAAAGCATGACTTAGAGTTTGGCAGTAAGGTGGTGGGGAGTAGGGAAGTGGGATGGGAGTTTTCCTTTGAAGAGCATATAGTTATGCCCTAGAGAAAATTATAGTTAAAAAAATAAATACAGTGTATGGTATGAAATGAGAAAGGCCAGAGTAGAGACAAGAAGAAACTCTGAGACGCTTAGCAGAGAAGTGTGCCGCACATGGGCTAGGGGACTAGCCTGGATATCACGTGTGTTTGGCTCCGTAACATAACTAATGACTTTAACTGACTCATTTTCGTAATTATATTTAGGTCAAGTAAGTTGATTTGAAATCTCTAAGCATGTAGGCATTTGCTGCATTCTGTATGATGAAGAGGACTTGGGCTCAAAGATTTCTCAAGGGTAATTCACATGCTGACAGTCAGCCCTGAGTAAGTGACAGAAATAAATTACTTTTGGAAACAAATCGATGGAATATCCAAATACCACTAATGCTGCTACATTCATGAAGAATCTGTACATCATGTTAAGTCAAGCGAACAGAAGTAGAAATACAGATTTCTTTTTTGCTGTTTTTTTGTTTGGTTGGTTTTTTGTTTGTTTTTAATTTGTTTTGAGATAAAGTCTCATATATGCAAGGCTGGCCTTGAACTCTTGATCCTCCTGCCTCTACCTACCAAGTTCAGGGATTACAGATGTGTACCACCATATCCAGCTAGAAATGGAAATTTCTGCATAAAATTTCTTTCTATGTTTTTGGCTCTTGAAACCTGATCTAATCAAGTTGAACTTCAAGTCCATATTAAAATTGAATGAAAAGAGTCAAATATATCAATTTACAAGACATAAAACAAAATGAAAACATGAAAGCATGTTAGCTCTGAACCTGGAAACTATTTGTTACATTGGCTTATTACTAATAAATAGCAAAATTAAACGTGTCTTCATTGCAAAAACAGATCATGCATTTATACAAGAAGCAGGTCTTTGTGGGATGAGGGAAGTATTTAGTCCACAGTAGGAGTTCTCACCTGTCACACAACTTGATCACAGCACTGTGCACCAACTTGATCCTCCCTCCAGGTATCAGACCTAGAATCAGACAGACCAGACACACACACACACACACACACACACACACACACACACACACACACTTAATGTAAGCTTAATCAAAATCCACTTACAGTTGTGTAGAATCAGTCTTCCTTACTTATGATTAGAAGTAACACCAAAATATAAGTGATAGACAGGACACCTCCTAACTCTGAGGAAGGTACCTGTGCCTTGCCTTAGGAGAAAAGTCAAATTTTGCAGCTCAGGGCCTCATGAAAGAAATCCATCTGGTAACGACTCAGGCACCCACACATCTTCAGACTGGTGAGGACAGTGGGCAGCATATGTATTCAACACTTAGTTCACTATAGCAAATCCTGTGCTGTAAACATGCAAAGAGCCTATCCTTCAAAGCCATCCCTGGGAACCCTCCAGGCTTTACTGAATGGCCACTAGGGTCCTGAGCTCTCTAGTCTCAGCTGCTGTTCATCTGCTTCTCTAACTTCCCCTCAAACACTATGGAGCTACAACTCCCAGGACTGGCTTTATTTTCCATTCCTCCCTTCACTGCCTTCTACATATGGACTCCTCAGCTACATACTGTCTCTACCAAATGTCTGTCCTAACACCACCCTCCCTTTTGCTCATTACTGCAGTGGGAGGAACTACAGATTTATGTGGCTGAAACCTAAATTCTAGGTAAGACTGCCCAGAACCTTGAGAGCACCTGAATTAAAAGCATATAAGGAATAAATTCAACTTTCAGCTGCAAAAGGCTGCTGTGGAGGTACTGAATAACCTGTCACTCTTATATCACACAAGAATACTGACACTGTCATAGACATGACTATGTCCTATTCATAGCAGGCCTGCCCCCTGGTCTCAACCAGAGTCACAGTAAAGCTCATATGACAAGTACTTCAACTAGAAGTGAGCAGCACCTGATTGGTAAAGGGCCTTCTTCTGAGTCTGAGCACCTGAAGCAAAGCCAGTTATGGATCCTGGGTTTTTTCCTATCTATTTTTTTTTTGTCCATCTCTATCTGGGGACACATTCCTGACACAAACAAGATATGAGGAAATTTTGTCATTAGAAAATTAGCATCTGGAATTCAGAGCAAAAAAGTTGCGTTTACAATGCAGACAAACTAGACCACAGGAAGCAACAGGACTGAGCTGTTCCATGATATCTAAGGCCTCTTAGAACTGAAAGCCATGTATGTGGCACTGAAAACAGCAAACCATAAGAGATCCTGGTTTGTACCCCATCCCTCCTGCTCAGTGCAGAGTGTTTCAGCATGTGGTGCCATCACCCACTCCAAGTGGCCTGAGAAGATCTGCAATTAGTACACTCACATGCACTGGGTAAATCCAAAACTACAGAAGAAAATCCCAAACGAGGGAGGATTTAGGACCTGGACAATTGGAGAACACTGGGAAAGGCAGAAGACAGAACGAGCGCCAGCTGTAAGCAGAACTTGCAGAAAGAAACACCCAGTGAGCCATTACTTGATCGCTCTAACAGGTGTCCATCCAACAGCCAAACAGGTGGACAAAACACAATTTTGATGCCCAATTTCTGCTAATTATTTTCCAAAGCAGGTATTGGCATCTTTACGCTCTATTCATTTTAGCAAACAGTAACATTAACTTTTTAATTTAATAGTTACCTAAATCACTCATTGAACCTGAGATATCTGCCTTTGGTAATTCAACAACCACCTAAAAATAGAATATTGAAAATCAATATTGATACATTTTATAACTGAAACAATTTAAGAAAAGCATTGGTCTAATTAGGTACTAAAATATAATTGCTTCAGAAAAAAAGACTAACAATAGCTTTAGAACTAATGACTTAAATGTCATTCACTACTTTAGTTTAACATTCTCTTCACACAGTGATATCGTTCGTAGAACCCTGTTGGAGTCCTAAGACACTCTCCAGCACTGAAACCTTGTTACATTCTTTCAAAGGCCTCAGGAGATCCCCTCTCAGCTGCCAGCCCCCGTGTGCCAAGTGTACAACTCTGTACCCTCTTCACAGAATATAGAAGCCCTGTCTTGCTCTTGATTTTCTCATCTTAGCTGTTGTACCACTTTGCTCTTTCTGTAACCCTTCCCCGAGACCAAGTGTCATCCTCCTCCCAGACCACTGCACTCAGCTGTGTGCATGGCCCTGGGCCTCCTACTTACCCACATATTGAGAACCCCACTCTCATCCAGGGAGGCGATGTGGAATGACAGGCCTGCCATTTCTAATGAAAGCAGAAACAAATTCAAGAAGTAGCCTTAAATAAGGATTATCATATTGCATAACCATTGCTTGAAGGATTTTATGGGTGTGAGGAGCCTTGTACCTTCTTGAGTAGAAAAGGGTGAAAGCACAAAGCTCTGCTTTTTGTAGGCAGACGTGGAGACAGGCTCTATGGCTTGAAGAGGACTTCGGTGGTTCACTGATGTAAGGATTCCATCTAGAGATTCCAAGTCCACAGAACCCATTGTAAATGATACATCTTGGCAATGTGAGTAGCATTTCACATGGACAAACCTGCTTCTGGATCTAAAGATTGGACTCTCTCCACACACACCCTCTGAAGTCACAAGACTAATGTGGGCCACCCATCATGATCCATGACCCTGACTTCCACATCTCTAGGAAATAGAGAGTATAACCTCAGAAGACTAAAAGAAGAAAACCAAGAAAGAAACATTAAAATTTGTCATCACAAAGCTGCCCACTACTGAGGCAAGTCTGCAGGGCTGGAAGGGAGGTCAGCATATGCCACGCAAGAGAGTATTGTGAAGATGAGGCACTCAGACAGGTACCCACAGAAAAAGAAGACCTAACTCTGAACCCTCCAGCAGAGGTTGGAGAGAGAAAGGAAAATGGGAGGGCTTCATGGCAGTGCTGTACATGGGCAGGACATTAGGAGAAAGGGGAGCACAGACTAGGAGCAGGGCAGTGCCAGCCAGAGTATGAACCCAGGCACCCTCAAACTCAGGCTAACAGACACAGAGCCCCCACCACCACAAGCAACACCTCCATCCACAAATGAATAAAACATCTGCCTACATCAAATTACATATACAGCTACTACAGCAAGAAACCAGAAACCAGAAACCAAAGCATTCTCAGCTGATGACTAATCTCCTCCTGCCCTACCCTATCCCCAGAAAAACAAAACTACCACAAAGTAGAAGACAACCAAAATCATAGTCCAAGTGAAAGCACTTCAAACTGCATTTAGAAATATATTTGAACAAGAGAAACACCTCAAATTAAAACTCAAAAACAGAAACTGACCAAAAACAATGACAGCTTGGATTTAACTCAGAAAAGCTGATGAACAATGCAAATCACCCCAGAAATGAAAAGCAACTACAGGGCTCCCAGGAGGAAAACTCACATAGGATGTAAAGGTCCAAACCTGAGAGCCAGTTCTTCTGACCGGGGCTTCCATCAACAGCTCCACAGTTTTCACACTCCTGAGAGCTTATTTAAAACTCTATAGGTTTTGCTAATAATATTTAGATAGCAAAAGGGAATAAAGGAAGTATTTTCAAAGAGTAGTTTTTATTCAGTCAGACTTAGGTATTTTGTGGATTCAACCAACCACAACTGGAAATATTTGGAATAACTACCCTGTACTGAACATGTTCAAGCTTTTCTTGTCACTATCCTCTCAACACTGGAGTACAACTGCTATTCATACAACATGCACAGTCATCTAAAGATGACTTAAAGTACAGGAAAGATGTGCCTGGGTTTAGCAAACACTGCCAGTGTACAGAAGAAGCATCTGAAGACTCTGGTATCTGAAAGGAGGGTTACCACACCAATCTCTTGTCAATACCATGTATGGTTGAGGGGTTTAGCACTTTGAAAACAGTGCTGGATTCAAAATTTTATTACATCAGCAGTTAGAAAATGGAAAATTTTTAAATATAACTTTCGGACATTGTGATGTTCAGTTTTAAATGTCAACTTAACACAATCTAGAATCACCTAAGAGTGTCAACGAGGGACTGTCTAGTTCAGGTTTGCCTGTGGGTATGTCTGTAGGAGACTGTCTTCATTATGCTAATTAAAGACCCAGCATAAAAGTAGCAGGACACCATTCCCTGGGATGGGCCCCAGACTGACAGAAAGGAGAGCAAGCTGAGCTCTGGCATGCATGAATCTGTTGCTCTTCTGACTGTGGACACAATGTGACCAGTTCTCTTAAGCTTCTGCCACTCTGACTTCCTGCAGTGCTGGACTGTAACCTGGAACCATGAGCCCAATAAATCCTTTCTCCCCTAAGGTGCCTTTTTCAGGGTACTTTCAGGGTACCACAGCAGTAGGTAACAAAACTTAGAGCCTGATGCTCCCTTGTCTGAGGCATCTAATAAATTCTGTATGTTCTTTTACCTGGTTGGAAAAAAGACACCTTTTACAATAGCAAAATCTATACATTACCTATCATGCAAACACTCTCCATAGCAACATCATCTCCCCAAAAGGGTAAAAATGGTAAGGTAAAAAAAAAGATGAGTTGCTCCTTTTACATATAAAACACACATATAAATATAGTATGTAGACAAGAAACATACCTGTGGTGTTAAAACTGTATGAAGAGGGGCTAAAAAAATGTTTGAAGGGTTATTTGAGAGAATGAAAAGGACAAAATAGGACACAAAATACAATGAAATATTTGCAAAACCTGTATCTGATAAAAGACTTTAACAAAATATACAAACTCAAGGTCAGATAGGTCAGGTGTAGTGGCGCATGCCTTTAATCCTAGCACTTGGGAGGCAGAGACTGGTGAGATGGAAGCCAGCCTGGTCTACGTATCTAGCTCCAGGCCAGCTGAGGCTAAAGAGAGATCCTGTCTCAAAAAAAAAAAAAAAATTTATACACACACAATAAAACAACAAATTTTAAAATGGGCCAAAGACCTTAATAGGCACGTCACTGAAAAAGACACAGAGATGGCCTATGAGAACATGGAATGATGCTCTGCTCCAAGTATCATCAGGGAAATGCAAGTCACACAAATAGGAACCACTGTACCCTGAGCAGAATGGCAAAATCCACAGGAATGGCCACCCAGAATGCTAGTGTGGGTACCAGCAGATTTCACTCACTGCCTGTGGGAATGCAAACAGTGCAACCACTTTGGAAGACAGTGGGAAATTTCTTACAAACTAAACATACTTTCACTATGCAATCCACCAATCAAGTTCCTTGGTACTTTTAGTTACTTTACATGTTGCTGCTGCAAAATAACTGACAAAAGCAACTTAAGAACAGTTAATTTTGCCGCACAGTTCCAGAGTAGAGTCCATCAAGGTAGGAAGGCATGGTGGTAGGAGCCTGAGGCAGAGAGAAACCCATACTCGTGCTGTTCGCTTTTTATGCAGTACGGGACCCCAGCCTATGAAACAGTACCACCCACAGGTAAGGGAGGTATTCTCACCTCAATTAACGTAGCTTAATAGTCCCTCACAGATGCTTCCAGAAACTAACCTAATCTAGATAACCCCTTCTAGGCATGCCTAGAGGCTTATCTCCTAGATAATTCTAGATCTTATTAAGTTGACAGTATTAGCCATCATATTTGGTATTTACCCAGAGGAGGTAAAAACAAGTCCACACTAAAACCTGCACCCAAATAGTCACAAAATTATTCTTTCAACAGTGAATGTATAAATAAACTGAGTTCATCCACATCATGGAATATTATTCATCAAGGAGAATAAAATTTTTTAAGAATATAAAGAAAAAAAAATTGGCTATCAAGCCATGAAAGACAAGGTGAAAACTTACACACTTACCCTAACCCAATCTGAAAAGGCTTATTCCACTTGATTGCAACTATAGAACTTTCTGGAAAAGGCACAACTACAGAGACATTGAAAAGATCAGTGATGGCTAGGAGTAAGAGGAAGAGATAGCAGAGATACCTGTCCTGATCATCATAAACAAACTGATGAGAGCCATACGCACAGTGAAACTCTTGAACCCAGTGAAGAAAAAGACTTAACACCCACAGGGAAAATGAGTCAAGTAACAGCGAGCCTCTCACTAGAAACCACAGTGTGGGACATGAAGCAACAGAAAGCGGGAAGAAGGGAATGAGGATGTGCCCAAAACTACACCTACCCAAATGACCACTGAAGAATAGGAATTTCAGCAGGACCTGTGTGAACACTGAAAAATGAACCTGTTGACCAATGCCTCACACCATGCACAAAATCAAACAGAAATAGATCACAGACTTAAATGTAAAACCTAAAACTACAAAAGTTCAAGAAAAGTTCCTAGAGGAAGGGGCCAATCAGAGAAGGCTGTGGTACCAGACTCTGGCTGTAGGCCAGTTGGCTCTGAGTGCAGAGCCCACCTGTGTGGTCAATGTGGCTAAGACAAATATTTCACCTCTCTGAGTAGCAAGGATGAAAGGCTAGTACAAGAATCAAATGTGCCCATGTACACAAACCATGCAGAGGAAGTCTTACAAGTAGAAAATGTTTGCTCTTTGTATATGCTCACGTGTGAATACATGTTCATGTGTGTGCCATGTGAGTGTACATAAACCAGAGGCTGACATCAGGTGTCTTCCTCAATCACCCTCCAGCCTATGTTTTTGAAAAGGGGTCTCTCATTGAGCATGGAGTTTGATAATTGGCAAGACTGGTTGGCCAGTAAGGCCTACCCCTCTTCCTCCCCCATCCATCTGTCTCTACCTCCCCAGCAGTGAGATCACAAGTATAATCCACCACACCTGGCTAAAAAGGGCATGGATATAAAGTCATCAGGTAGATTTCAATGGTAATGTTTTTCACATCTACTAATTATTAAGGAGCAAATTTTTATGCTTTGAAGAATTATTTTTTTAATATTTTTTAAATTTTATTTATTTATTTTTACACCCACTTCCCAGATAGCTTCTAATTGTATGGTTATTAAATTTTAAAAAAAGGGTATGGAAACTGGGATCTGAACACAGGTCCTCATGTTTGCACTAACAAGCACTTTACCCACTGAACCATCTCTCCAACCCTAAAAAATGTTTGCTTTTTGTTTTGGTCGTATGGTATGACGGAGTGTGAATTGTTCATGTGAGTAAAACTGATGATCCCAGAAGATGCCTCCAAGAGGTGACTCATTTACCTAACCACTTGAAGTATTCACTAACAATTAAATTAGGGCTGGGAATATAGTTCAGTGGCACAGTACCTAACTAGACCCTAAGTTTGGTCCCCAGAACCAAAATCAATCAATCAAAAATTTATATTGCTGAGGTTTTTTTGTTTGTTTGGTTGGTTGAGGCTTTTCTTGGGGGGGGGGGTTGCTGTTGCTGCTGTTGTTTTATTTTTTTTTTTTCTTTTGACTCAGGGTCTCCTTGTAGCCCCAGCTGGCCTGGAACTCCCTATGTACATTAGACTGGCCTGGATCTCACTGAGATCCACCTGCCTCTACCTCCCAAATGATGAGATTAAAGGTGTGCGCCATCACGCCCAGCTCCTGAGGATTTTTTCGAATCCACAAATTTACTATGAAAGAATATCCTAGTTGTTAATGGTCATGTGATAAGGACTATGTGGGTGGATTTCATTTTCTCTATCTATTAAATGCCTCTTTTGCCAACAATCAGATCTCATTCTCTGATAACATGAATAAATAAATGCAAATAAAGTTAAAATTTGAGTCCTCAAATCTGTCAGGGCTTTTCTAGAGACACATGAGTGACAGACAGATGACACTGACCAGTAGAAAATGTTGGGGTCCTGAAGGCCCAGAGACAATCGCTAAGTCTCACATAATGGTGTATCCTGGAGTCTTCTCGTAAGTCCCATACAACCACAGAACCATGCACTGTACCCGAAAACAGCAAAAATGCTTTGAAAGGGCTAAAGCAGCAACACATGACCTGGAAAGTAAATCACAGAGAGCTGATGGCTAAAGGACATGACAGCCACATTCACAGAGATTAGTTCACAGACTACAGCACTGGACACAGATGAAGGTTCCCACAGGATGAGATTAGTAGAACAGAGATTCGTGCACACAAAAATCCAATGGTCCACATGTGAGTTTCCTATCATGGGCAGTAGGTATAAGGAATATGATTAGCACACATCTGGGCTCATAAACATGGCTCAATGATCCCTTCCACTCAGTGACAATTCCATCATTTGTCACTTTATAGCTTTTACTGCACAAGTTCTCACGTTCAAGCCCTCAAAACCGGCACGTTAAAAGGTATTCTTCAGACTTTTGGAAGAAGCTGATGGTTCTAAGGAACATACAAACATGGTACTTCTAAATCAATGAAGTAAACATGAAAGGGCAGATGACCAGTGGACCCACTGATAAAAGGACCAGGAACAGGTGGAAGGGCAAAGGGATCTGAGTGACAAAAGCACTGCAAGCAATTTTAAGAAACTGCCAGGCATGCTGAGGTGTCCCTGTAATCCCAGCACTCAGGAAGTGGAGGCAGAAGGATCAGGAGTTTAAGGTCATCTGCAGCTATACAGTCAGCCTGAACTACATGAGGCCTTGTCTCAAAAAAATAAAGAAAAAAATAAATCACAAGAATATTAAGGTATCTCAAAAGTATCAGGACCCAAACAGTGCAATTCAAAGATCCCAGCCCTATGGCCAGATTGACTTTATTATATTTCACCTATAACTAAATTCATTTCCTAGTTTTCAGTTGACTGAGAGCCTGCTACATGATAATCCTGGATTTCTCAGCTTGAACTGACCTGCTGAACTCATAATTTCTAAAGTCAAAGCAAATGTGTTTTGTCACCTATGTGGAGCCAAGGGCACAGAGAAGCAGAAGGTGACGTATGTTCTTTCTACCAGCTGTCTCTACACCCTCTCCTTGGCATGTTCACTGTCAGCTACCACCCTCCTCAAAGCAAGCACATGACTCCTCCTGAGTGTACCTTTGACTCACATATCAGAACCTTCTGGGGCCCTGAAGGTTGCCAAATATCCCACACACAGAGGAGGTTCCTGCTATCCAGTGATGGGGCAAATGTCTTTTCAGGTAAGTCATGAACAGAGACCACCGTCTGCCTCTGAACTGGAGAGGCATGCAGACAGGTTACTTTCCGACCTGAAGGTAAGAAAAACATTTTGCATTTTTGGTGATTAAAACATTTCAAAGTACTCACATAAATTCCAACTCAAGGAAGAAGTAAACATGTCCTTTCAAAGCTGAACCCAAGTTCCCACATATATCCAGTTGCCCTTAACTCATTATGCAGCTGAGGATGACCCTGAACTTCTTTCTGATCTTCCTGCCTTCACGTCCTGAGTCCTGGGATAAACACTGGGCTTTGTACATACATCCCCAGACTTATTTTCCTCTTTTTGTCTCAATATTCATCTTACAGAAGCACAAGAGTAAACAAAAGGCCACCACTCCTTTTTCATGCAGAGATGCTCTAAGAACAAGTATACACTGGTACAACTGACACCTTTCCACATCTGCCACTGCTCACTCCGCATGAGTTTTCCTTCTGTCTGAGAGAGGGGGTGTCAGTGTTTCCAATGCTATAGGTATAACGATATACAAGTTTTCTAAAGGATGAAGAGAGGAAAATACATAAGCATGAACAACAGGTAGGGCAAAAGAAACAGCAGCAACTTTGTCTTTGCTGGTGCCAGAACACGTTTTCATCCCATCTCCTGAAGGAGAGGCCGCTGCTGGACACCCTATCCTGCCAAATCTTCACACAACCAGTGCCATGCCCACTATCAACTACCTGTTTTTTAAAGGCAAAGCTGTCTTACTAAAGGTTTAAATGTGACCAGGCATGGGAGCAAACAGCTACAACCTCAGCACTGGGAAGACCAAGGCAAGAGGCCAGCCTGGGCAACTGAGACTCTGTCTCAGCATAATAAGATAAAAATTAAAATTAAAGAAATTTAAATTTGGCCTAACAACAGCAATTTAAACAAAATAATTGCATGCAATTACACTCCCTGTTTGACATCACGTGCTTCATTCGTTCAGCATTTCTATAGCCATGTACTAACTGAGAAACTGAAGTGCCTGTATCTGTGCTAGATGCCAAACATCTTACATACTCAGGTGGAAACTAGGAATACAGCTTTGCCTTGAATATTTTCATGCTGCTCCAACCATTTCTATTTCAAAAAATCAATAAAAACCGAGTGACTGCTTGAATACAATTACAGGATTTAAAACAAACAGAGACAGCCTCCATTTTCATTCACTGAATAACTTTACTAATTTAAATTACTGTCAGCCCTCTTCTAATTAACTTATGAAATCACTCACTGTAAATTTAATATACACATTTAAGAAAACCCTCACCTTTCATCATGCAGTTCTGCAGACACTGAGTCTCTTCTACACAATAAACCCATCATATTAAAAAAGTAACATTAAAGATCATTATTTCAATATAAATGCCTGTGATTGGCTTTAACCCCCATGGAAGCTCTTACCCTGAAGGAATGGCAGGCTTGTGTTCAGCTGAGAGGAGCTATCACTGATGTTCAGAGCTTTGTCTTGAGCCCGGGGATTCCAGCCGGGTCCAGCTGCCAAATGGTCCTCTTCAAGCAAAACAGCCACCACCTTTCAAAGACAGTGAGCAGTCTTCCTTAAAAAACTAACAGCATGCTATCTTTTTATTATTATTATTACCTTTTGTAGATTCTATTTCTGCAAACAAATGCTTGGCTCCACCACATCATAAGTAATATAAATGCTATATGAGGTCACTCTGTCATCTTACGTGTTTTTTCCTTCAAAAATTCAGAGGGTTTTAAAATGGAAGCTGGAAATCTAACATCCTCAAATGAACAAGGCACTACAGAGAAACAGGCAAGCAGTGTGCACTGGATCCTAAGTCAGCATTAAATCACTGCAAATGATCTAACCAGGACATCTCTGGGATCTGAAGAGAGATTTGGAAATTGGTAGGAACGGTAAATGACACAGCACTGAGCATCAAGGACTGTCGGTCTGTGTTTAGGGAAGACAATGAGACAGTGGTGTGCACCAAAGGTTCCTGTGAGTTCAGGGCTGGCCGGGCTAAGCCTCTGCCTTTACTTCCTCTCCTCTCCACCTCACCTCCATCACTGCACTCTATACAAGAACGCTCTTCCAACAGTTCCAAGAACTTATATACTAAGACAGAACCCAATATGTCAAGCTTAATCATATTTCTTTTTTTGTTTTTTGTTGTTGTTGTTGTCTTTTTTTTTTTTCAGTCTTTTTGAGACAGGGTCTCCCTGTAGCCCCAGCTGTCCTGTAACTCACTATATAGACCAGGCTGGCCTCGAATTCACAAAGATCCACCAGCCTCTGCCTCCCAAGTGCTGGGATTAAAGGTGCACGACACCATGCCTGGTGCTTAATCATATTTCTAAACCACAATCCTCTATATAACAGAGCCACTAAGACAAAGTAACTACCGGGAATTCGTAGCAGAGTCTGAAGAATAGGCTAGATCCAAATCAAAGTGTCAAGGCTTACAATGTTGTGTTGTTTATTTCTGTTCTACATTTAAGTTCCAAGTTTGTACAAATGTTTCAGGCAATTGAGGAAATAATATCAACTTCATATCTTAATATATTAGAAATTATTACCAATGCTTGTAGTGTAAATTTCCCAGCTTCAAAAAAAAAAAAAAAACACCTTTGATCCTAGTCCTCAGGAAGCAGAGGCAGGCAGATCTCTATGAAATCAAGACCAGTCTGGTCTAGATAGTGAGTTCCAGGGGGACTGGGACTAGAGAGAACAATTGTACTATCACAAGTCCAGTGCCAAATTATCATTGGCTATCTTTAGCCCTTCTAATAGTCATTCACTGCCCACTCTGTGTGTGACCTAACACCCTTATGACTATTAGTTAATCCTGTTGGAATATACTACCACAGCACCCCAACTAGCAACCCAAAGGTTAAGAATATCACCACACAGTCTCTGTGACCTATAGCAGAGGCTTCCCCACTGTGCTATAACCTACCTATCTGACATTCCCACCAATGTATTTGAAAAGCATCTTGACTTAAGAGTTTCTCTTGCTCTGCAACTATAAAAACTTCATGAAACTGTTACCATATTGAAATATGGTATTTAAAGTAACCTAAATCCATGTTCCCAGGCCATGGTCACTCATATATGGTTCCATAATAAATTTTCTTATTCCCTTTGAAAAGCTGTGTTTTTTCATTGACAACAGAGATCTTTTTCTTTTAGAGACTGATACTGAGATATATATGGAGGAAAACATACGATGCTTAGTGTTAGTTTCAAAATAATCAAGTGAATGATGGGATAAGGGGGGAGGTCAGGAAGGAGTCAAATGAGGCACTGGAGTACAGGAACTTCAGAGTACTATTCTCTTTATTTTTATGTATACTTTGAAATTTCCCATATTCAGTTGTTAAAATCTTTGGTTTATTATCTTCAAATACACTAAAGTTATGCTTGCTTTGCCCACTTAATACACTTGGCTTAAGAGTCTGATCTTCTAGGGGCTGGAGAGATGGCTCAATAATTAAAAGTACTGGCTGCTCTTATAGGGGACCCAGGTTCCGTTTCCAGCACCCACATGGCAGCTAATAACCATCTATAACTCCAGTTCTAGGGGATCTGAAACCCTCTTCTGGCCTCCGAGGGTACTACATGCATGTGGTTTACATGCAGGCAAAACACTCATATACATAAAATAAGTAAATTTAAAAAAAGTTTAAGCATCTATAATTTTCAATTATAAGAAATATTAAATTATAGAATACAAATACAGATAGTACCGTCAGTGTTCTACATTTATCTAGTGTCATTCTGTATACAAGGGCTTAATCAATGTATTACTGATCATTTATAAGAAAATAATACTAGAAAATGAAGAACTAATTCTAAGTCACAAAGGCTCCAAGATTTCAATAGCTCCATTTTTTAATATAATAAACTTTTTTGCATCAACACATAGAAGAAACCACATAGTATGGAACGTACCTGGCATGCTGCCCGGAGAAAGTTAGACAACCGGGGAGTGTCAATCTTTGGTACAACTGTGGCCTCAGCGAGGTCTTCTTCACTGCCTAAAACACAGGTTTATTAAATCAATAAAGTTGACTCTAAAATAATTACGTTTTACATGTTTGAGCTCAAAGCAGTGTTCTGAACACTGAGCCCTACAAGAAAAGTCAAAATGCCATACTGCAATCTCCATATTAGTAGTAATTTTTATTTATTATTTTTTTCCAAAATCAATTTGCCATTTCACACTGAAGGATAAATGGACCCCAAGCTGGGTTAAGTAACCTCACCTCAGACTTGAAACCCCCAGCCAGGAAAATGTGAGAAACCCCCCACCAAGACACCCTCATTGTCTCAAACTCCCACACAGTAATGGCAGCACTTCTTGTCACAAACCCTCAAACTTAAAAAAAATAAAAAATAAATTAAAAAAAAAACAGAACTGCAGAAATTCAGACCAACTATGCCTCAGTGCAGTTTCCAACCCTGGACAAACTGTGGCCCTTTGTTGTTCTAATAAAGAACAATCTGCTCCTGTTGGGGTTTCTCTTTCATTTTCCCATTGCCCTAGTCAATCTCAATCTAACATTTTCTAACACACACTAAATCCATAATCTGAACCCTATTCAAATGTGTTAAGGAATGCAATGAAAGGAACCAGTTCTGTGTGAGAGTTAGTTTTAGGTATATAGGTCAAGCATCCCTAAATCTAAAGATCAGAAATCTACACTTTGGATCAGAGATAAGCAGCTTTCAGTGCTTTCTTAAGGTGAGGCCTAATGAAGGAAATACAATTCTCTGTTATATAATAACAATTTCTTAAGAAAACCAACCACCAACCAAGTTTGTTCCATGTGAGTAGCTGTGGATCCATGTGTTCCAGGGGCCTCTGATCTGCACTGACAGAACACATCTTCAAACTGCACTTAAAAATTGAAAACTATACTAAGAAGATCAGAATGTCCCCAACCTAAGAGCGGAATGTGTTCTAAGGTAGTATTTGGAGTATGGGACTTTCTCCCTGGATTACTAATCCTCGTCAGAGTTCAGTCCAGGGCTCCAGGCCAATTTAATGATCTCCTGTGGTTCAGGTGGCATTAGCATAAACTGCTTCTTCAAAGGAACATTTAAAGAGTCTTAGGCTAACAACCACATTAAACAGAAACATACAAAAGAGGAAGTAAGTCAAAACAAACAAAGATTGTAGACAGAGGGCATTCGACACTCAAGTATACCAAGGTTACCTCCAGACACAACAGCACCTTCCCCTGGGTGCTGGGTCCACACTTCCCTGGTTTCTATATCTTCAGTCTGAATGTCTCTCTCAACATTATCTTCATTATACTGGACATATGCCTTAGAGACAAAGATAGGCTGGAATCAACATTTGGTCTCAATTTCAGAGCAATATGCCATTACTGAAAAGTCAACTACAATTTTTTTAAAAGCTGATAAACTTTTTTTTGGTCTTTTTGAGACAGGGTCTCCCTGTAGCCCCAACTGGCCTGGAATTCACTATGTAGACCAAGCTGGCCTCGAATGCAAAGAGATCTGCCTGCCT